TTGATGCGTCCACCCCTCAGCCTGTCCCCCCGCGTCGGTGCCCCTGACACCCGATGTCTCCACGGTTGCTTTCGGGCCTCTGGCGGCCGTTCGGGGCGATTCCCCCGGAAAAACTCTCGACGAGGCGCAGCTGATGGAAGCCAACACGGGCCTCGAAAACCTGCCGGGGGGGGAGGGGGAAAGGTTGCAAACTCCCCCCCTCTGCAGCGAGCAGAAAAAGCACCCCCAGAATAACCACCCCCATAACAATCGTCTAGTAAACGCACCCAAGGCAGGAATCGAACAGGGCAGGGCTGTTTAGTAAACGCACAGGGCCGTTCAGACAACGCCGAGTCTGGGGATCGGGGTGTTTCTTCCTCCCTGGACTCTGAGCATACCCTCTCCTCGGCTACGCGCAATGAGTGGCCTGGGTAAAAATGACCTTCGGTGCGCGGCTCTTGGGGGGCCGCGGGGGCACCAAATACAAGCGCGCAAGGCGCGACCATCGCATCGCGTTCGGCGATCGGGGGACCCCAATGGGCCCGCACCAAAGTTCACTCTGGCAAAGGGTCACTCTTACGTGTAGCGGAAGGATCACCAAAGGTCACTCCGGCGAAGGGTCACCGAGGGTCACTCCGGCGAAGGGTCACCAGAGGTCGCTTTCGGGTAGCGTGTCGTGGCGGCGGCCTCGGCGGCACGCCTTCCCCACGCAGTCAGACTGCGTGCCGCTCCGCCTTGCGGTGCGGGGAGGCTCGGGTCAGCTCGCGACTCTGACGCTTGGGAACAGGAACTTGCATGGCGTGTCGCGCCAAAGCGTGGTGGGCAAGAACTTGCGGAACGACATGCTAGGCCAAAGTTCCTGACCGCATGTCCTAAAATCCGTCAGCGCGAGAAACATGAAACATCGCGAATAATCACGACCAGAACCCTGAACCCCACCTTTCTGCTCCATTGTTCGGGTCGATCGATATGTGAGGGACCCGAGGCCCGCAACCAGGCGAAAACGCCCGGCTCGAAAACATGGAGACGTCAGGATCTCAGGCGGAGCCACACGCTACGCCGAAGTCCCTGACCCTGAAGATTGGCCGATTGTCCACCACCACTATCATGGGAAGGAGAGGGAAGAGAATGAGGAGGAGGAGGAGGAGGAGGAGGAAGAGGAGAACCTCCCCTATCCCCCCTTCTACCACGTCCTACTCATGGTAGCGGTGGTGGAAGATTGGCCCATCACTGTCGTTCGTTGCCCCTGGGGGGGCAGCCTGGCGCAGCATCGGGGCCGGTGAGGGAGGCGCGGCGCCGCCCGCGACCAGCGCCCCCGGCGAGGGAGGCGCGGCGCCGCCCGGGATCAGCGCCTGCGCTGCGCGCGCGGGCGGGAGGGGCAGGAGGGAGGCGAGGGGGCGAAGGAGGACAACGAGGAGGAGGAGGAAAGAGGAGAAGGGAGGAGAAAAACGGGGAGGAGGAGGAGGAGGAGGAGGAGGAGGAGGAGGAGGAGGAAGAGGAGGAGGAAGAGGAGGAGGGGGATATGAAGACGGGGAGGAGGAGGATGAGGACAGGGAGGGAAGACAAGGAGAAGGAAGAGGAGGCAGAGGCAGAGAGGAAGGGGAGGAGCTCCGCCCTGTTGTTTCCTCCTCATGCGCTTGTTTTTGTTACGCTGACAGGTGGGGAGAAGGAGAAGGAGCAGTCTAACCCCTAGACGCATCAACGATGCTGCAATGCCAGCGTGGAACCCAAACAGTGTCCGCTATTATACAATGTGATGTAGTTTGTGTGTCGCACCCTATATGGTGCAGCCTACGTGGCGCAACCAAGCGTAGTGCAAAACGCGTGGCGCAATCTATGTTTAACAAAATTTGCCCACGAACGAATTTACACAACCCACACTTCCGCAAACATGCCACCCACCCACCCGCAACTTGGTTTGCAAAACCCACGCGGTGGCGATTGCGATGCATGCATCTCTGCAGCCGTGCCAACCCCAGCACGCGCGCGCAGCGGCCATCCAATTTGGCGCCACCGACGCGGCCGCGGCGGCGCTGACCGCTGGGCGCATCCAAGCGGGCACTTCCGTACGAGTCGGCGATGTGGGCGGGCGCGGTATCACGGCAACGCCGACAACGGTAGACACGATGATGATTGTGGCGATGTTGGTGACGATGTTCGCACCAACGAAGGCGCGGCCAGTGTGGGCGCCGATGCTGATCACGCCGACGACTATGACGGCGTCCCCGCGTCGGTGATGAAGGTTCTGGAAAGAGTTCGGCATGCGCACGCGGCCGACGCGCGACTGGCCCGCATGTTTTTTCTGACGCGGATCGTGCCCCCCCCCCCCCCCCCTGCACGCATGTACGGGCGTGCGAATGATGTCGGCATGCGGCGCCAGAGGCTCGCTTTACAGAGTTCCATGCAAATTTGGAAAAGAAAAAAAAAAAAAAAAAAAAAAAAAAAAAAAAAAAAAAAAACGGCTTTCTCAAGGATTCGCAAGAGCGCGCGCGCAAGATTTGATGGTAAACTGACGTTGTGAAACCATGTGTTTGGGAATGTGTTTGGGGGATTCGGCTTTGAAACCGTAACGAGGCCGAAAGTTTTCGAAGGATTTCGGCATGCGCGCGCGACGACGCGCGCGTGCGCATTTCGTCCCATCTTTTGCAGAAAGGGTTCTCGCGACGGCACGCGCGCAAGGGCGCTCGAACGGTTTCGACATGCGCGCGCGAAGCCCGTTTGCTAGCATGTTATGGACATGTTGAAAATTCACACTGTTTCTTGAGAATTCGCAATAACGCGCGCACGCTATGTTTGAAAACCCGCGTTGCGAAACAATGATTTTTATATGTGTGTTGGACACTCAATGTTGACATCCTTCCGAAACCGAGCGTTTTAGGCATGCGCGTGCGACGATGCGCGCGCACACTTCGCTCCTGTTTTGGCAAGGGATGCATGACAACTGATAACTTGTGATAAACGAATGCGCGCGCGTAGTATTTTTTGTTGAGGATGGCAGGGGGGATCGAGACCGGCTGGGCTGGGATTGTATGAACTCATATTGAGGATGGAGGATTGTGCAACATCATATAAAATTGCAACAACAAAAAGGTGTACCCATAAAGCCGGGGGGTAGGGTATAGAGTATATTCTCTTTTTAGAAAGGAGACTAAGGTGGGTCGATCATGGCCGACAGGCCCGCCCGCAAATCTCGCAAACATCCCGGTCGCGAATGTGCAATCTCAAATCTCCACAACATCGTCAAAACATCTTCTCGCGAATCGCCAAAACATCTGCGCGCCTGAAACATCCCCGGCGACACCTCCAGCAACTCTTCGCTTCAAAAATACCAAACGACAGCGCCAAAACATCTTCCAAGTATTCCGGATATTGTCAAACGATGTTCCAAAAATGTTCAATATGTGGCCCAAAACATTCGTCAACAAATATCCACACACAATGACCCCATAGATTTTCTGGTGGCTGTCTGGACATTTTTCCGAAGCTCTCTGCACCGCGGGGATGGTCAGATGATTACTACAAGGTGTTTTTGAACAGGTGTTTTTGAGCAGCGGGACGCGTTCTGGAGATTTCGGGACACAGTTCGACATCTCCCCAGCAATTATCCGGAGATGTTGCACCCTGGGGGCCCAGGTCACGTTTGCCATATTGGTCGCATGTAAGTGTTAGCTATGTGTTTTGTGCAATCGATGGGGTGCACCATCTGAGTGGTGCAACCTATGCAATGCAACCTAATTTGGTGCAATCTTTGTGGAACTAAAGTGTTCATGTCTGTGGTGAAGACTATGTGGTGTCAGCAAGGTGGTGCCATACATGTGGCCCGACCTACAGGATGTGAGCTACGTGAGCTCTTTCCCCCTCCTCCTCCTCCTCCTCCTCCTCCTCCTCCTCCTCCTCCTCCTCATTGTTCTCATGCCTCCTTCTCTTGTTCCTACTCATGCGTCCTCTCGCCCTATACTGTGCCAAGACACCCCTCCCACATCCGATTACGCAACAAATGATGTGTGAGATTCAACAACTGCAATTTCAGGATCACGGCCAACTAGGGCACCCATGCCGGCGGACAAACAAGATGTCAACGCAATGCGAAAGGATGGATAACCCAAACTGCAAAATCATAAACTGCAGGATGTCCGCGCGAATCTCGCAACGACGCTGTACACCCCTCCCCTTGCGCGCGGAACGCGATAGTGGCGACGCCGAGGGCGACGCCAGGGGGGCCCAGCGCTAGTCCAACAAATCCGCGCGGCCCTCCAAAAATCAATGTGTATGCAGTTCTCTCTTGCTCGCATCTAGGACACCCCCATCGGCGACAGACAAGGATTCACCGCAGTGGGAAGGGATCAGCAAAAGAGGTGCAAACTCGGATGTGGCGCGAGAGCGCACCGAGGTTGTCCTCCTCTCGCCCGCTCTCTCGCCCCTCCTCCCACCCCCATCGCAGGTGGCCCCCCTGTGGGGCCGCCCACGGCCCGCCGCACCACTTCCTCCTCCTCCTGGTACCCCTCCTCCTCCTGCTCCTGCAGGTCCAGCTCGTGCTGCTCCTCCTGGGTACTGGTTGCTATGCTCCTCCTGCTCCTTCTCCTCCCCCTTCCCTGCTCCTCCTGCGCATCCCCCCCTCCCTGCTCCTCCTGCTCCTCCTCCTCCACTCCTCCTCCACCTCCTCCTCCACCTCTTCATCCCCGAATTCCTCCTCAAATTCCTCCTCTCCTCCTCATCCTCTCCTCCTGCTTTCCATCCTCCTCCTCCTCCTCCACCACCTCCTCCTCATCATCCCCACCCAATAGCCATCCCCATCCCCTTACTCTTCATCCCCTCTTCCTCATCACCTTTTCCTTATCTCTCTTCCTCCTCCTCTTCCTCCTCCTCTACCTCCTCCTCCTCCTCCTCAATATCATGTCCAACTCCTGCTCACTCGCCCTCTCCTCCTCAATATCTCGCCCTGCTGCTGCTCTTCCTCCTCCGGCAACGCGCAAAGACCGAGGCGAGGGGCTGCGCCCTGACGGGCGCCGGCGACATGTGCCCTGACAGCATCCTCGAGACCTACCGGCGGCGGCGCCGCCGCCACCGGTCGTCGTCGTCGTCGTCGTCGTCGTCGTCGTGGTCGTCGTCGTCGTGTGTCGTCGTCGTGGTTGTCGTCGTCGTCGTCGTCGTTGTAGTCGTTGTCGTCGTCGTCGTCGTGGTTGTTGTCGTCGTCGTCGTCGTCGTCGTCGTCGCCTGAGTCGTCGTCGTCGTCGTCGTCGTCCGCCGCCACCAGTCGTCGTCGTCGTCGTCTTCATCGTCGTCGTCGTTGTCGTCCGTCGTCGTCGTGTGTCGTCGTCTTCGTCGTCGTCGTGATCGTGGTCGTCGTCGTCGTCCGTCGTCCACCGCCGTCGTCGGTCGTCGTCGTCCGTCGTCCGTCGTCATTCGTCCGTCGTCATGCGTCCGTCGTCCGTCGTCCGTCGTCGTCCTCGTCGTGGTCGACGTTGTGGTCGTGGTCGTCGTGGTGGTCATCGTGGTCGTCGTCGTCGTCGTGGTTGTCGTCGTCGCAGTCCTCGTCGTCGACATCGTCGTCGTCGTCGTCAGTGTCGTCGTCCTCCTGCTCCTCCTCATCCTCCTCCTCCTCTCTGGGTCAAGCTTTCCGCCCGTCCGCGAGGCCGCCGTCCGCTGAGATATGACGAGGTCGTCCGCGTTCCTCTTCAGGCCTCCTCTTCTCTCTCTTTCCCTCTCTCCCTCTCTCCCTGGTCTTCGAACAGACACGCGCACCCTCTCTCTCTCTCTCTTCGCTCTCTCTCTCACTCCTCTCTTCTCTTTCTATCTCTCTCTCTGTTCTCTCTCTCTCTCTCTCTCTCTCCTCTCTCTCTCTCTCTCCTCTCTCTCTCTCCCTCTCTCTCTCTCTCTCTCCCTTGCTCTCTCTCTCTCTCGCTCTCGTCTCTTCCTCTCTCTGTCTCTCTCTCTCTCTCTCTCTCTCTCTCTCTCTTTCTGTCCCTCCCTCGGTCAAGAGCACTCCGCCCGCGCCGCCGCCCTCGCCGTCGCATGTGCGCCCTCGTCGTCGCTCGTCGCCGCCGCCGTCGTCGACAGGGGGTCCCCGATCGAGGGGCTCGAGGCTCGGGACTCGGGGGCCGTCGGCCAGACATCCGCCGCGAGATCCGGGTCGGCGCGCCCCTCCCGAGCAGAGGCCCTGGGTCCAGTCGTCGCCGGTGTCGTTCTCGTCCTCGTCCTCGTCCTCCTGCTGCCAATGCTGTTCCTGCTGCGGTTCCTGCTGCCTCTCCTCCCTCTGTGTCTCCCCGGGGACGAGGAGCAGGGGTCGGAGGAGGAGAGGGGGCGGCTGTCAGCAGCTAGGGGGAGGAGGAGGGGCAGCAGGAGGATGAGAGGGGAGAGGAGGAGGGGGAGGAGAAAGACAGGGGGAGATTGGGATCCGGGAGTCCAGAAATACCTGCTTTCAACGACCCGTGTGCAGTGTGCGGCCACTGTGCCCAAGTCGCTTCTACAGGTCCCCGTTGCCGCTTTTTTCGCCACGCGAGCGCTACGACCCCAACAGATCGACGTTCGGCCAGCGTGCAAGGAGAGGGGGGGCAGGCGGCGCGCAGCTCGGCATGGCCATGGCAGGAGAACGGGCGGCCCCCAGGGAGGCTGCCACCGTGTTCGCCTCGGCGCCCGGGCGCCTCGCCGAGTGCCGACGTCGATGGGCGGAGGCCGCTCGACGCGTGCAGTGGCGTGTCGACGTCGACGCCGACTCGCCGCTTGACCATCGACGTCGACGCCGACGTCGATGATCGATGACCCTCGGTTTCGAGTCACTTGTCGATGCGGCGGAAACCCTGGCCGAGATGAGACAACGGCATCTCATAATCTGTCCCAAGACGCCTCCCGAGGCCCAAACGCATCAGTTTTTTGAGCTGCGTCCAGCCGTGTCGACGAGGGACCCCCCCCAGGCCAACTATCGTTGTGCCAACTTGACCTCCTCTTATCCTCCTCCTCCTCCTCTCCCTCGGCCTCCTCCTCCTCCTCCTCCTCCTCCTCCTCCTCCTCCAAGAACGCCCCCCTCCCCCCACTCCTCTTCGATCCTCCCCGTCGTCCTCCGCCTGCGCCTCCGCCTGCCGCGAGGCTTCCCGCGCCCCCCCTGCCCCCCCCCCTCCCCGCCACGCGAGAGCCTGCGAGTGCTGCGGGGCCGCCTGCGCCACGGCGCCGAGCGGCGTGCCTCCTTCCGGGTCACGTGCGGGTCTTATCTGCCCTGGTAGGCAAGAAGCAACACGCAACGCACTGACACGGAACTCAACACGGATATTGAAAACGTGCGTTTGGTGCGACACGCTCGCTAAAACGTGGGCCAACACACTGAACCAAGACGCGACGTGATAACACGGAAGCTTTGAACAAGGTACGTGTTGCGTTTCAAAACGGGCGTATCGGGGCAGCTAAGGTAAGGATAAGCTAAGAGAAGGGTCATAATTCCGAAGGGTAAGAAGAGACAATATAACAACGATTGTCCAAACAGTGCTTGCCCCCAGGGGATCAAACTTCTTCTTTAAGAAGTTGGGTCTGTCTGCTGGTCTGGCGGCTATGTTGCCGCCATCACCGCCCCGTCGCCACTTCGTCGCACCCGTCGTCTGGGCCTGTCTGCTGGTCTGGAGGCTACGTTGCCACCGTCGCCGCCCCGTCGCCGCCTAGATTGCACAACATAGATTCGTTTCTGAAAAGAAATGAGGATCCCCCGCCCCCCCTCGGATTATCGGCTCCCCCTGGGGTCTTACAGTTTACAAGCTATTATGCCACATCCTTCGTGTTAAACATGAATGCGCACCATCCGAACCAAGCATGTTTCGCCCCCTTCCCCCCACCCGTGTCAATTAGAACTGCGCGTGCGCACGCGTATATCATTTCCATCAACTGTCAACACTCTCCTGCAACAAACTCGAACATCCACACACGCGCGCGCGCGTCGTCGCGCGCGAATGTTAATATCGCGAGCTTGGGGCCCCAGCTTCCCCACGACCGCCACCAAAACGGTCGCGGTCCTGGTGAGCCTGCCCCTTGCGCACGTCTCCCCCGTAGGTGCCGCCACCACCGCAACCTCCGAGCACCGCGGCCGTCCTCCCAGTCCAGGTCGTCGTCGACACCGAAGGACAGGAACCGATCTGAGAAGAGCTCGTTCCACGCTCTGCGCATAGGCCCTCTCCCCGCGAGTCACGCTCAACTGCCAGTCGGCAGGCCAATGGCTCAGTCGAGCGCGTAGCTTCGACAGCGGGTGGGCCTGGCGTGAATGCTGTGGCGCCTGGCGTCGAAGGCGACGAGGCAACCGACGCACAAGAGAGTCCTCGACACCGAGCCAAAAAGCGACACCGATCTCCTTGTGGCGTCTTCTGCCGCTCCACAAGGGAGGCGGTGAGTGCGACTGTAGACAAGGAAGCCGTCGTCGAGCCCGAAACCCAGGTCGTCGAACCCTGGCTGAAGAGACAGCGGTGTTGCAGCCTGTACAGCTGCGTCACCAGCCAGCCGAGCGCGAATGTCCACCTTCGTACCCTGCACCGCCGCATCCTTGGACGAGTTGGCAATTGACTCGCTGTCCAGCGAGTCTCCACCAGCTGGGACTGGGGATGCTGCAGCCTCAGTCTCGGGTCCCGCGGTCTTCCTTCTCTTGCCCGAGAGAGGAGGAGCTAGGAGGAGGAGGAGGAGGAGTAGGAGGAGGAGGAAGGGACGAGCAGGAAAGTAGGAAGGAACGAGGAGGAGGAGGAGGAGGAGGAGGAGGAGGAGGAAGAGGACGAGGGGGGAGGGGGGGGGAGGAGGAGGAAGAGGAGGAGGAGGAGGAGGAGGAGGAGGAGGAGGAGGAGGAGGAGGAGGAGGAGGAGGAGGAGGAGGAGGAGGAGGAGGAGGAGGAGGATATAGAGGCGGGCGATGCACGAGAACAGCGGGCGCTCCGAGGGCAAGACTTTCCACGCCCAACCCTGCCAAGATTTTCGCCGGCCCCTCGAGCAGGGGCCGCGGGGAAACAATGTACAAACGGGCCCTGTCATGTCGAACGCAAAATCTAAGACGAAGTCAGGACGAGGATGAAACCGGATGAGGATACGCCGAGGATCTCTGAGATCCAGCGGAGGATGTCTCGGACGCTGCGGCCTTGTCAGAGCGTTCTGGAACGCTCTGAGAGCGCTCCGGAGCGCTCTGGAACGGATATATCCTCGTCCTCACCCTCCGATCTCATCCCCCCTTTTCGGCGCTCCCTGGCGGTTTTCGGGCCATAACTCGCCTCCCCGGTAGCCGTTGGGGGCGATCCGGGCAACCCCAGAATGCCCTCGGCGCGGCACAGTGGCTGAAAGGCATGCCGAGGCTGGAAACCCGCCGAGAGCCGACGAAACCGAGCGAAAACCTCGAATCTCGAACACCTCGACCTCGCCACGTCCGGAAATGCGGCGACTGGGCTGGGCGACTCAGCAGCACGACGAGGGCCAGGCCCAGCTCTGGACACGCGCAAGGCGTCCGGCAGCAGCGCGTCAGTTGCACGTGCGCGTAGGAGGGGCGGCCCTACGACCGCAGTTGATCATTTGGGCAATTTCGGGAATCCTGAACCCGAAGACGTTTTCATCACTTGGGGGCGCATGCTTTACTTCCGCCACCTTCCGCAGGCCTCCGCCAGCTTCCGCCGGCGGAGGCGGCCTCGTTTTACTTCAGCCGACCTTCCGCCGCCTTCCGCCGCGGAAGGTATGACAACTCCTTCGATCCTCGAAGGCATAACCCTTTTTGGAACACCCCATTTGAAGGGCCCTGGGGGCGCTCGAGGGGCCCCTGGGTCGCGGCGAGGACCAGGAGGGCGAACGGGGAGGGGATGAGAACAACGACGACGCCGACGAAGGGTTGGAGTGGGGAGTGAGAGGATGCGAGGTGGGACCGATGTGTGTGTTTGGGGGGAGAACACGGGAGGAGAGTAGGAGAGAAGGGGAGAGCAGAGGGAAGAGAGGTGGAGAGGAGGGGCAGGGAAGAAGGAGAAGAGGAGATCGGTAGAGTGGAGGAAGGGCAGAAGAAAACGGGGAGGACGACTTGCCTCTCCTCCTTGAGGTGAGGCGAGATCCATGAGGACGTACGGGAGGAAAGGTGAGTGAGTGAGCTGTCCGCTCCCTAGCTCCTGGCGACTGCCCAGCGCCGCTGGGCTCCGCAGTGTCCACGCTCATGGGCAACTTCTTCAGCTGCTGCGTTTGCGAGGAGGGATGAGACAGGAGGAAGATGATGGATGACGGGAGGGAAGAGGCAGGAAACAATGAGGGAGGGAGAGGATAACTCAGATCAGGAGACGCAGCAGCAGCAGCAGCAGCAGATGAAGGAGGGAGGAGTGAGAAAGGTGGCAGGGTGAGGGAGGGATTGAACTCGCCAGAAGAGAAATGGAAAGAGGAGGGGCAAGAGGCAGGGACAGAGGAGGGGCAAGGCAGAAGAAGGGAGAGAGAGCACCATCCATCCACACCACTAGGGTCAATAACCAAGCGACCAGCTTCATGTACTCTGCCTCTTCCGCCTGCTCTCTTTCCCCACCCAACGGGTTGGGGTTGCTAGATTTCAAGAACAAGTCCCCCGGAAAAACCTACCCTGCCTACCGCGGCAGCCAGACCCCGAGTTGTCCTGATCATCCCCGAGAGTCCCCGATGTCCCGCCTCGCGCCCGCGACGAATTCGACAGAACACAACATGGCATAACATAACGTGACAAAACGGAACAGAGCATGTCAGAACATACCATATCAATATCATGACACATAAGAACGTAGCAGAACATCACATAACAACCCATAGCAGGACAAAACATAACCGCAGACGATATGACACAACATGGCATAACATAGCCGAGCATAGCATAACATACTGTGGCAGAACATACCACAGTATGGCACAGCATTGCATAACATGTCATAACACGACAGCCGAGCATAGCGACGACGAACACGACAGAACACAGCATGGTAAAACATAACATCCAATAACATAACACAACGGAGAGGATCTCGTTTCCCCCACCCTCTCATCTCCACTCACCCGCCTCTGGCTTCCTCCTCCAACTCAGCCTTCCTCTTCATTGCTGCTCCTCTCTGTTCCTCCTCCTAATGCGCTCTCTGCTGCTCGTCCACTGCGTCCTCATCCTCATTCCCTCTCCTACGCATCTCTTCACCTCCTCGCCCTGCACGGAGTCGTGGGATACGGCTGAGAAAGGACAGAGCTCCTTCAAGCCTGTCTCCCCCCCCCGCGAAAGTCGGAGGCCGGCGGCGGACACACTGCAGCCAGCAGCGCGCCAGGCCGGCATCGAGGGCAACACGAAGTGGCCGCCGCCGCCGTCGACGCCGCCGCCGTCGCCGCCGCCACGACATGGCCGTCGCCGCCGCCGCCACGTCATGGCCATCGCCGTCGCGGACGCCGTCGCGCAGACGCCGCCGCCAGCGTCGAAGGAGGCCCTCCTGAGCGCTCCGAAGAGACCCCCAAAAGCATCCCTGAGGATTCTGACCCACAATCCAGGCACGGAAGCGGGATGGACCGAAGGCCATTGGATAACCGAGAAAAGTGGGGGAAAGGCAGCCGGAGAAGAGTAGAAATAAGAATGAGGATGGATAGCAAAAGGGATGAATGCCCCTTTTCCTCCTCGTCTCCCCCTCCTCCATGCGAGTAGGCGTACCTACGGCGCGAGGGTTCGCGTGCAGTGGCCTGACGGAAAACTGAAATTTGTTCGTTCGCTCATTCTGCCTCTGCTCTCCCTCCGTCCTTTTCCTCTCACCTCCGTTTCCTCCTCCTCCTCCTCCTCCTCCTCCTCCTCTTCCTCCTCCTCCCTCCCTCCCTCCCTCCCTCACTTCTCCTCCTCCCACGTACTCCTCCCCATTCGTCCTGCACTCCTCCTGCTCGTCCCATCCCAAGACGTGTCGGTAGGGCGAGCCCAGCGTTTCGCCTGAAACACCCTCGTCACTTGGGATCCTGACGATTGAAATTCGGAGCACGTCCTCGAACGGAGGGCGGATGGATTTCAAAATGCGGTTCTCGTCTCAGCGGCGTGCACATTCGCCTACAACGCTAGCAAGCGTTCCAAATATGGAGGACAAGTCGTTTTCAACATGTGTTTCTTGCCTGTGTCGCGCACATTCGCCTCAAAAGCTTGCAGCAACTTCAAGGGTGGAAGGCGGGTGGTTTTCAAAATGTTGCTGTCGCCTTAGCGCCGCGCACAGTCGTATTACAAGTTTGCGACAGCTTCGGAGATGGATGGCAGTTCCCTGTCACATTGTGGCTGTCGACTCAGCGCAGCGCAAATTCGAATTCAAAATTCGCGGCCCTTTCAAAGATTCGTACAGATGCAATCCTAGGAATGGCGTCCGGGCACGGTATTGGATTGTAAGAGCGCAGTGTGCCTGGTACGGTTAGGAGCGTAAGGAAGCAACAGTCAGGTTGATCCGCTGCACGGAAGTCCAAGGACTGGTGTTTGGGCACGGTGAAGAATTATCAGACGGTGTTCTACTAATGGGTCCATTTGCGCAGTGAGAACAACTTCTTGCAGTGGAGAGGTAACTTCGAGGGAGGGTTTATAGCAACATCGTTAATGCGTCCTGGGCTTACACTAGTGCGCTTATTCTTCTCCTCCTCTCTCCTGCTCCTCCCCGGTGGGGGGGGGGCGCCTGCTGCTGCTGCTGCAGGAGCTGCTGCTGCTGCAGGAGCTGCTGCTCCTGGAGCTGCGCCTGCTGCGCCTGCTGCTCCTTGAGCCCGTCGATCAGACTCAGATGCTCCTCCACAGGAGGAGCAGGAGGAGGAGGAGGAGCAGGAGGAGGAGGGGGAGGGGAATGAGGAGGAGGAGGAGGAGGAGTTCGAGTTCTTGTTGCGACGACTTCACAGGTGCTCATCCACGGGTGCGAACCTCGAGCTTCGAACTTCAAGTTCTTGTTGTGACGACTCTACCTAGAACTTTGAACTTCGAGCTTCGGGTTCGATCAGCCTGAGGTGCTCCTCCACTGGATTGACCCAACCACGCGCGAGGGGACGGACGCTCTAGAGCAGGGGACGAGAAGAGATCGGTCCAAGAGATAAGAGACATTCGCTACCCCTTGCGGGGGCTACTCCGACGCACGCGGCCCAGGGCACAAACACCCGCATGTTGGCAGCACGCGAGGGGTGCCTACCAACAGAGAAGGCGCACCGCACCAGCGAGTTTGCAGGTGCAACCGCACAGTCATGGCCGCCACCATGGTATGTCGATTGGATGCTCCTCCACAGGAGTAGGAGCAGTGTCCAACTTCGAACTTCAAGTCTTGTTGTGACGATTCTAGCGTCGGACTTCGAAGTTCGAAGCTCGATCTAGGCTTCGATAGTGGCTTTCCCGATTCTAGGTAGAACCTTGAAACTTCGAGCATCGAAGGTCGAACTTCGGCCTTAGATGTTTCGTCGGCTGCGCGTCAACATTGTAGGCCTTTCTGGGCTTCCAGGTAGCTTTTCGCCGCCACGGCCGGATCCTCATGGTCTCTGGTCTTCGAAGCGTAATGCGACCGCGGGGCAAGCTAAGGGCTACTATAGCCCTCGCGTTGACAAAACGAACAGAATTTGCTCCCCACTCCTCAGGCTTAACCGCATCTTTGGGGGGCACCACCAGGCATTCCACAGGTCGAGAAGCCATTGCCCTACCACAGAAAAACAACAAGTCAGTCAGCACTGTAGGATGGCGGTCACTGCCGTCTGGAGGATCGAGCTGCAAACTTCGGTTTTTCGTTTGTAAACATTGTCGGGCCTACATGCGGTTTTCCGCCTTCACAGCCGGGTCCGTCTGGCCGAGGTGCACTCCGGGACAGGTCCCTGGGGTCGATGCCTCCTCCCCCTGGGATGCCAGGTGTGGCGCTGGGATGCGCAGGGGAAGAGCGCCCTGCGGCGAGAGGGAGAGCAGAGGGAGCATGCGAGGCAGGGATTTGTCCATATGCACCGCCTGGGGAACCGACGTCCTGGGACCCCAGCGGGAGGCGGATATGGATTTGGCCCCCCACAGTTTGCGCCGTCGGCACAGCGCGATGTCCGTCATTCTTTGTGTGTTGCACAGCGTTCCCATCGCTCTTGAGACTAACATCCAAGACAAATATCTTGGCCCCCACAGGGCCGAACATATCCATCATCCCACGCCCTTGGGAGGTCCGCGAAGATCGATCCCCGGGCGGTGGTCATGGATGCATCCCCGCCTCGGAGAGAAGGAAGGCGGGCGACGAGGGGAGTGCCCCGCATCGGCTGTGCAGGGGGCGGCGCGGGGCGCTCTTGTTGTAGAGGGCAGAAAGCCCACCCCTATAATGATCACCCCGGCACGCGAAGCCGTTTAGCAAACGCACCCACAGAAAGAATCGAACAGGGCAGGGCTGTTTGGTGAACGCCCAGGGCCGCTTGGTAAACGCCAATTGTCGGGTCCGGGTGGTTATTCCTCCCTTGATTGAAGAGGCCCACAAACACACAAATAAATACACACAAATAAAATGATTCCCCATATTTTCACATAGTTTCTGAGTTTTTGTCTTCCCCCCCACTTCCCATATTTTCCCATATTTTCCTGGGAGTGGACGATTAATTGTGTCTGTGTGTTTTCTCCCCTCCTGATTGATGTCGGGCAGCCCCGAGGCCCGAGGGCACACGCGCTGGCGACCAGCGACGCCGCAGAGCCGCCCCGCGCGGGGCGAACAAGGACCCTGAACGCAGCAGGCCCTGCAGAGAGGAGAGGTGGGGGGAGGCAGAGAGGGAGGCCTCTGGGAGGCCTCTAGACAAGGGCTCCCAACTTCGCGCTTCGCGCTGCGCGAAGCGCGAACAACTTCGCGCTCTCGCGCCGCCTCCCAGGGGAATTGGAGCCGAACCGCGAAGCGCGAATAACTTCGCGCCCTCGAGGGCGCCCTTGTCTAGAGAGGGAGGGGGACCCCATCTGGGAAGCCTCCAAAAAGGGGGGAAAGGGCCGGGAGCCCACAAGGGACGTATGCGCCCAACCACGTGCATGAGCACGGCCTCGCAGTCCACGAGACCAGCCGCAAGCAAATATCGCCTTGATCTTGTTCAAGACGTTATGTGACAGAAACAGTTACGGGAGGGTGACAGCTCCGTCAACATGGGATCTGAGCATCGTTTCACCGATCCGCATCCCCACCAGCGTGGGCTGGGCCCCACTGGCAAATTCCCCCCCCGGTGGATATATCGAGGGGCATATTTCCAACTGAGGTTGTGAGACGGTGGGGCTCGAGATGTGGATGGGGATGGGGATAGGGATCGGCTAACCGATACTTCGACGTCGACCCCGAGAGGTCTGGACCCCTTCCCTGGGACCGGTTTTTCATCCTGGGCCGTTTTCTGACGCTCGCCAGGCCCGGCGAGGGCCCCCGAAGGCCGAAAATAGCGAAAAACCTGCCGTCGCGATTTTTTCTCCACGCGAGGGGGCCTGGGATGGGGGTAGGGATCGGTTAAACGATACTGAGGATCGGGCACTCGGATCAAGCCGGAACGTATCGGGCCGAAGCGGCACGGAGTCGGAACTGGATCGGATCGGCCGCGCCAGGGTGCACAACAACGCCGTGCAGGCATTGGTGGGAGAATCAACCACAGCAAAACCATCGAAACCCAAGAAACCCAGGGCACCCTGGAGGAGGCAAGCAGGGTGTTTCTTGGCATGGGCCCCCACTGTACTCCCTGGACCTCTCCGGTGCGTTCTGACCATAACTTCATTGCTAGTCCAGCGGCAGCGACGAGGGCATCCAGGAGGACCCCAAAGGGGAAGACGAAGCAAGGATAGCGGTATCGGTACCCTTTCCTCCTCCTCCTCCTCCTCCTCCTCCTCCTCCTCCTCCTCCTCCTCCTCCTCCGGATTGGGCCGCAGCACGTCGCCCCCGTGTCGGCATTCGAGGTCGGACCTGGCCGGCGGGGCCGGCAGCAAAGCAGATCCAATTCCGACTCAGTGCCGATTCGGCCCGAGACATTCCGGCTCGATTTGAGATCCCGATCCGATGCTGACTGAGCCTTCATCCTTCCCCAATCGAACGAAGGATTGCAAAAAAACCAAGGATTGCAAAAAAAACCCATGGTTTTTTGCAATCCAGGGTTTTTTTTTGGAATCCTTCGTCCATGACGCCCCACGTCTTGGACATAATCAAGGCAGAGAGCCGCCTCCGGGCTGCGGAACCGTGACTGGTCGAGTCGAACATGGAGCCTGGGGAGCTCGCCCTCGCTCGACGCCCATTCCCCGTGCATTTCTCGATCTCGTGCGTTGATTTGTTCGTAAGATAACCCCAGATGCTCCGCGCTGGCCCTCGCCGAAATAATTCACACGTCCGAGCGATATCGAGGGAAGGGCGATCGACCCTGTGGACCGCACCGCCCCCTGCGCTCCTGCTCGCTCCGCGTCATGCGGAGGATCAGGGCCTCCTGCTTCGACTCCAGGAGGCGGAGCCGCTCCACCTCGGCCTCGAGGGCGGTGGTGCGCTGGTGGCGCGCCACCTGGCCGAGGGCGGAGGAGTCCCTCCTCGTCCCTCCCTCCTACTCCGCCTCCTCCTCCTCCTCCTCCCCGCGCCTCGCTCCTCGCTCCTCGCTCCTCCTTCTCCTCCCCCTCCTCCTCCTCCTCCTCCTCTTCCTCCTCCTCCTCCTCCTCCTCCTCCTCCTCCTCCACCTCATCCTCCTCGCTCCTCTTCGCTCCTCCTCCTCCTCCTCCTCCTCATCCTCGGCCTCCTCCTCCTTCTGCTCCTCCTGCTCCTCCTCCTCCTCCTCGCTCCTCGCTCCTCGTTCCTCGCTATTCCTCCTCCACCTCCTCTGCCGCCTCCTCCTCCTCGCTCCTCGCTCCTCGCTCCTCGCTCCTCGCTCCTCGCTCCGCCTCCTCCTCCTCCTCCTCCTCCTCCTCCTCCTCCGCCTCCACCTCCTCCACCTCCTCCACCTCCTTCTCCTCCTCCGCCTCCCCCTTTCTTTTCCTTCTAAACAAGCTATCCCTGTCGCACCCCGGGGCGAGTCGGAAGGGCGGGCCGGGCGTTTCGCCTTAGCATTCCTTACCACTTATGATCCTGAAGCTTAGACATTGGCCGCAACCTCGCAGAACAAGCTCAGAAGCTTAGAGGGCGGGTCGCTCCCAAAATGTGGCTCGCGCCTTTGCGCCGCGTACATTCGTCTGAAAAAAGATCCTGGCGGAAGGCCCCACCAGATGCAGTGTACCGACGTTGCGAACCCTACCAGACCTTCGGCGGAGCTCACTATGGTGTTACGGAACGTGTGAGGCGTACGCCGAAATGGAGGCGGCAGGGCCATGCGAACCCTGCCACTGGGGCCTTCGGAGGAGCTCCCTATGGGGCCGCGAAACGTGCGAGGGGTGTGCCGAAAAGAAGGCGGCGGTGACATGCGAACCCTGCTACTGGGGCCTTCGGCGGAGCTCCCGAGCGGGCTACGAAACGTGTGTGAGGGGTGTACCGAAATGAGGGCGGCGGTGCCATGCGAACCCTGCCGCTGGGGCCTTCGGCGGAACTCCCCATGGGGCCACGAAGCGTGTGATGGGTGCCGAAATGGCGGCGGCGGTGCCATGCGAACCCTGCCACTGGGGCATTCGGCGGAGCTTCCTATGGGGCAACGAAACATGTTCGGGGTGTGCCGAAACCGATTGGGGGGACACATGGCTGAGGTGATGCAGGGGAGGAATGAGGCGGGAGGACACCGCGGGACGCTCTCTCTTCAAAACGAGGACCCAACACCACAATATGGTTGGGAATTGACAAGGCTTCACGGTTTGAGGGCAGACGGTTATCAACATCTTGCTCTGACCTTACCCCGCACACATGTGTCTTAAAAAAGCAAGCGGTTCATGAATTGAGGGCGTGCAGTTTTCATCATGTGGCTCTCGCTGTAGCGTCGCGCGCATTCGTGGTAAAAATGCAAGAAGAGGGCGGGCTGTTTTCAAAATGTGGCTCATACAAGTCTGGAAGAGCTTTACGGATTGAGGGCGGTTCCTTTTCACACCGTGGTTCTCGCCTCAGCGAAGCGCACACTCGTCTTATTTGCAAGAGTTTCAAGATATTCACACTTTCCCACGTTTCACGTACCAACCGCGGTTCATGGGACGACTCAGGATTGCCAGGGCGCACCAGTTACGTTGATTCGCGGCGGTGAAATCGCAAGAACGGCATTCTAGCGCGGTTCTAGATCGTCGAAACGCAAGTCAGCTTGCTTCGTGGCGTTGGAATCCAATAGCGGTGTTCTGGCACGCTTCCGGATCTTCGGGCACTTACCTCGGTGTAAATGAATCCTTGTAGGAGCGTGTGCCGAGCGAGCTTGGAGGGATGGTGTCTTCCAACATCGTGGATGAGTCTTGGCTTTGCACTGGTCCCAGATCCTCCTCCTCCTCCTCCACCTCGCTCCTCGATTCTGTTTCCATGCGAATGAATCCTCCCCGTCGCGCCCCCAAGCGTGTCGGTAGTGCGGGCCGGGCATTTCGCCGGGATCCCCAGCTTATCACTGATGATCTCGAAACTTAAAGAATGCGAAATGGGGCTCACGCCTCTGCGACGCGCACATTCGTCTTCCTAGCCTGCATCAGCTGAAATAATGAATGGGAGGGGTAAACAGGGAGCTCTCGCTCTACATAGCGCTGCGCGCATTCGTCTGACAAGTTAGTTTACAACCGATTCAAGGATGGAGGGCCACGCCATTTCAAAATAGGGATCTCGCCTGAGCATCTCGCGAGTTCATACGAGAAGTTTGTACGTACCAGTTGCCAGGGTGGCGGGCGGTTCCTTGTCAAAGAAGGGCGCTCGCCTGAGCGCCGCGCGAATTCGTCTTATGAGTCCGCAACAAGGACGAAGGGTGGTTCCAATTCGAAGAGGCTGAGCACCACGCGCGTTCGCCTACAAAGCTTGGAACAGCCAAGGGGATGTTCAACGTGAGGCTCTGACTTTAGCGGAGAACGCGTTCGTCTTAAAATCGTCTGAGAGCTACAGGCATGGACGCCGTATGAATTCCAAACTGTTGCTCTCGCTTGAGCGCCGCGCGCTTTCCCCTTGAAAGCTTCCAACAATTACTTGGATAAAGGGCGAATTGTTTACGAATGTGGCCCTCGCCCTGGTGCCGAGCACTTTCGCCATTGCAGCTTCGGGCGAGGACAAAGAGTAGCGGGCGGCTTCTTTTCAACATGGGGCTACCACTGGGCGCTTCTGCATACAGCACGGCCAGACATGTAGACTTGTGCACCAGTTCCAACGACTGAGGGCGGCGCCTTTACAACATGGGTCTCTGGTTTAAGACACTTCCTTAGCATGCATGGCGCGAAGTGTACACCTGTGCCACAATTACAAGAATGGAGGACTACTTTGCAAAACGGAGCTCTCGCTGGGCACCTCCCTGAAGTTTATGATCGTACCTCTGAGTACAACCAGGACATTTGGCTGAGCATGTCCCTCCGCTGGTTCTGGCCCACCACGCTTCGGCGCGACACGCCATCGACGTCCCGATCCCCAAGCTTCAGCGTCACGCCACGCGGAGCGGAGCGACACGCCATCCGCTTGCAAAGCATAGCGGGTCGCCAGGGCCGCTCACATGGATCAAAATGAGAGGGTGCCTGGCACATGTTAAGATTCCTGGAACCGGTTCAAAGCGGGGCTCTCGCCTGACTGATGGGCAGATGTGGAGCTCGTCGTTCGAGGGGCGCTCTCGCCATAGTAAGAGTAGAGACGGATGCCCGTCAGGAGAATTTGAGGAGGGGGGGAAATTGGGACATGAGGGCGTGCTGCAGCATCGTTGATGCATCCTCGGATCAGTCTGGCCCTCCTCCACCTCCCCATGCTCCTTCCACTCCTCCTTCTCCTCTTCCTCCTCCTCCTCCACCTTCTCCTCCTTCTCTTCCTCCCCATCCTCCTCCGTCTTCGTGCTCCTGCTCCTGCTCCCTCCACTCCTCTTCCCCCAAACCCTGCCCCCCTCCCTCTCCTCTACGTCCCCCTCCGCACCTCCTCCGAAACATCTTTGATGCATCCTCGGATTACTCTGGTCTCCTCCTCCTGCTCCTCCTCCTTCTCCTCCTCCTCCTCCTCCACCTCCTCCGTATCCTCCTCTTACCTCCAGGAGTCGCAGGAGTTGGGTGAGAAACGGGGGAGAAGCACCGGCGGAGAAAGCAGGGAGAGGCGGGGAGAGAAAGAGAAGCGAGGGAACAGGAGATCGGTGTCTTCCCCTGGCCGGGCGGCATCCTTCTCACTCGCTCGCTCGTCCTCGCTTTCCGCCTCCCCCTGCTCCTTCTCTCCATCCCTTCTCCTGATCAATGAGAAGTCCCTGTCGCACCCCGAGGTGTGTCGGTAGGGCGGGCCGGGCGTTTCGTCTGAGACTTTCTGACAAGTGCTAATCCTCATGTTCAGTATTTGCAACAGCTTCCCGTATGGAGCGCGGGCGGTTTTCATAATGTGGCTCTCGCCTTAGCGCCGCGCGCATTCGCCTTAACAGTTTCCAAGAGCTTCGCGGATGGAGGGCGGTTCTTTCTCAAAGTGCGGCTCTCGCCTTAGGCCGCTCGAATTCGTCGTCAGAGTTCACAGCAGCTTACCCCTGCGCATGGTTCAGGTACAGGGAAACTGTATATTTCGGCACGAGTGAGGATCGTCAGAGAGCAACAGTCACGTTGACTCGATGCGTTGCATTCCCAGCAGTGGTATTCTGACACGGTTCAAGATGGCCATTATGCATCAGTAACGCTGACTCGCGGCGTTGAAGTACCAGGAATTGTGCCCTGGAGCAGTTCAGAATTGTCAAACGATGGTCTTCCAACGGAGCATTCCACTAAGTAAAAATGCACGAACCCTGATAGAGACCTATGGAGAAGAAACTTGGGGTGAGGGTGTAGTGCAACATCGTTGATGCGTCTTCGGCTTACACTGGTCCTCCTCCTCCTCCTCCTCCTCCTCCTCCTCCTCCTCCTCCCCTGGGGGGACAGCAAGATGCCGATGCCGGGCTCCCTGGACCTCTGCCAGGGTGCATGCTAAGCAGACTTTCGTAGCACCTCCAGCTGTGGTACGAAGGGGCCACCGAGGAGGCCCAAACATGCCCAAACGAGGCAAATGGTGCGGTGCCTTTCCTCCACTGACCCTGGATCCTCCTGCGGCTGCTGCGCACTGCCCGCAACATGGGTCGATCGAAGTGTCCACATGTACAAACGGATTCCAAGGCAGAAGGGAAGAGGAGTAGGAGAAGGAGGAGGAGGAGGTGGAGTAGGAGGAGGGGGAGGAGGATGAGGAGAAGGAGGAGGAGGAGGGGGAGGGGGAGGACGAGGAGAAGGACGAAGAGCAGATAGGAGGACCACTAATCCTACCCCACGGCTTCCTCCTCCTACTCCTCCTCCTCCTCCTCCTCTCGCCCCCTCCTCCCCGCGCCTCCGCCTCTTCGCGCCCGTTCTCAGCCCCTCGAAGGGGGGCGGTGGGGCGTCCCCGCCGACATCTCCCGCAGCTCGTGGAACTTGGGCCGCAGGCGCTCGAGCTCCCCCCTGGCGTCGGCTTCCTGCCGCCTCCGGCAGGCATCGGGGTTGAGGGGCGAGACGAGGATGAGGATGAGGATGAGGATGAGGATGAGGAGGAGGAGGAGGAGGAGGAGGAAGAGGAGGAGGAGGAGAAGGAGGAGCAGGAGGAGGAGGAGGAGAAGGAGAAGGATTGGGAGGAGAAGGACTAATATACATAATGATCATCCGAATGCGAATGTGGAGAATCATAAGACTAAGCATATCATGGTCGTGGTATTGTTTGCATTCGAAAAAAGTTATCACACTGATAAGACTAAGAGTCAACAACATAATACTCGTAATGAGACGAATAGTAAAACATACGAGTACGAATCAAAAGAAGACGAAGACGAAGACGACGGGGGGAGGGGGACACCGATTGGGAAGGGATGACAGGGCCCTCTCCCTCTCTGCATCCGCCAGCGGGGGGCAGGGGGGGACGAGCGGGATGGTGAGGGGAAAGGACAGAGACGGATGAGGGGAAGCTAGGCTCGCCCGCGCCCTGTCCGACACTCCACCCCTTCCCACCCGCCCCTTCCCACTGTGCCTGTGCAACATCCGCCGACGGTCGTCATAGCGCATAGCGGATTCGTGGAACCCCCGACGCAGGAGACTGCGGCCCCTTCCACTCGTCCACGCAGCGCTCAGGCGCGGCCCGGGCGTTCGGCGGGGCCAGACGCAGGAGGCCGCATCCGGCAACCGCGCCCCGCGCGGCACTCAGTGCCACCCCGGGCGCGCGCGGCGGCCCAGGTGCCACGCGGCGGGGCAAGGCAAGAGGCGCGCACGATCCCCGCGACTGGCGGGGGGGGAAGAGGGAGGGAGAGGAGGAGAGATGCGGGCGTGTTTTTTTGTTTGGGGGGGGAGACGGAGAGGGGAGAGCAGGGCGGAGGGGAGGGGAGGGGAGGGGAGGGAGAAAGCATGGCTCAGGCCGAAGGTTCCAGGATCAGATGGGTGTCCGCGGGGGGTCCAGGAGAAAGAGCAGCAGCAGCAGCAGCAGGACGACGGCGAGGAGGAGGAGGAGGTGGGGGAGGGAGGCGGGAGGCGGAGAGTCCACTTCGCCACCCCCATCTCGGAGGCATGCTCCTCGAGAGCCCCAGGGCACACCGCAACTGTGAGGGCCAACGAGCTCGGACGAGAACGCGGACGGGCTCAACGATGCCGACCGCGAGCTCCAGAGCCGGGCGCCGCCGCGACCGCGGGCGCGGCGAAAAGCAGGGAGGCGATGCCGACGTCCACGGCGCGGTCTCTGTCCCTGCCCTCGCCCACGGCGTCGAGCCTGACGCTGCGAGGTCTGACGCCTGCCGAGGGGCAAACTCGTCAGAGAGGAAAGGACGGAGGCGCACCGGCAGCAGAGGATGGCGAGCCTCGACTCCGCCTCTCCGCAACGCTGGGCCACCCACAGCTAGGGCGCGGCCGATCAAAGTCTTGTCCATGCTCCTGCTCGCGCCCCGACCGCACGAGGGGCCAACATGGTGGCATGGATGAAATGCCAGCCGCTGGAGCCCAGCCTTTGGCCCATGCCGCCTGGCGCACAGTGTAGCGCGGAGTGGAACGAGCGCGACCGCCGGATGACGCGGGAGGGTGGTTTTAATATCCGCACTCCGAGACCCCACCATGATTGGGTGAACATGCTCTCTGGGGGTGTAGACGCGCAGCTAGACACAGGGACAGGACCGAAACAAACAAAACGAAACATGGACGAGGAGAAGGAGGAGGAGGCGGAGGAGGGGGGGGGAGGGGGAGGAGGACGAGGAAGAGGAGGATGAGGAGGCGGAGGAGGAGAAGGAGGAGGAGGAGGAGAGGCCGGGGGATTGTGGAGCCCCTCGTCATTTTCATACGGTTTTTTTATCGAGTGAAACGCTCTTTCACCCTTACACTTTGATCGTTTTTTGTATTTTCTTCTTTTCGCCGTGATCCGCTCATACTAATATGTTCTAGTTATATCGTTCTCTAGGGTTCTCTCTCTCTCTCTCTCTTTGTCTCTCTCTCTCTCTCTGTCTATCTCCTGCACCAGGCCAACGCATGCCGATGCGATACAAATCCATTCCCAACCAACACCAATTCCAATGCAATGCCAGTGGGGGAATCCTTTCGTTCGGTGAATTTCAATAGAAATACTTTGTGGATGATGTCATTACGATTCCTTCTTCGGAGGATTTCAACGGCAATGCTTATGTGTAGGGTTTCGATCGGGATCCTCATGTGGAGGGTTTCACTCGGAATTCTTCATGTGGGTGGATTCGATCGGAATCGTTCTTGTGGAGGGTTTCAGTAGGAGTCCGTCTGCGGAGGGAGCCATTAGGACTCGCCAGCGCAATGTCAACGCAATGCCAAAGCTTTGCCATCGTAATGCCAAACCAATGCCTAGGCGATCCCAATTCAATGCCAATGCAATGCCCATGGGGGTATCCTTTGTGGTAGATTCCAAAAGGAATCCTACTTGTGGAGGGTTTCGATTGGAAACCTTCCGTGGGGGGTTTCAGAATGAATCTTTTATGTGGGGGGCGTTCAAAAGGATCCCTTCTTGTGGAAGGTAAGGGATCCTTCTGTGGTGGGAGCCATTTGAACTCGCCAGCGCAATGTCGAAACAGTGCCAACGCAATGCCAAACCAATGCCAAATGCAATGCCAATGGGGGGAATTGCCTGTGGTACATTTGAATAGCAATCCTTCTAAGAACCCTTATTCGGGGGAATTCAATAGGAAACCTTTTATGGAGGGCTTCGCATGGAACCCTTCTGTTTAGGATTTCAATTTGAATCCTTCTTGTGGGGGAGATTCAATAGGCATCATTTTTTGTGGGGGTGTTTGATAGGAATCCTTCTGTGAAGTGCTTGAGTAGGACTCGCCAGCGCAATGTCAACGCAATGCCGACGCACTGCTAACGCACTGCCATCGCAATGCCAACGCAATGCCAATGCGATGCCAAACCGTTGCCAAACCAGTGCCAATTCAATGCCGATGGCGGGACTCCTGTCTCCCAACAGATTTCACTAGGAATCGTTATTCGGATGATTTGGTTACGAATCCTTCTTCGGAGGATTTCGATAGGAATCCTCCCGTGGAGGGTTTCGATTGGAATCTTTCTGTGGGGGGTTCCACTTTGAATCCTTCATGTGGGGGCTTTCAAAAGGATCCCTTCTTGTGCAAGCTTGTCATAGGTATCCTTCTGTGGGGGGAGCCCTTAGAACTCGCCAGCGCAATGCCAACGCCATACCAACGCAATGCCAAACCAATGCCAAAGCGATTCCAATTCAATGCCAATGCAATGCCAATGGGGGGAATCGTTTGTGGTCGGGTTCAAGAAGGATCCTTCTATGGATTTCAATAGGAATCCTTCAGTGGAGGGTTTCGCATGGAATCCTTCTGTGGAGGGTGTCAATGGGAGTCCTTCCTGTAGAAGGTTTCGATCGGAGTCCTTCTGTGGAGGATTCCATGAGGACTCGCCAGCGCAATGCTTGCGAACAGCAAGCACACTAGCAACGCACTGCCAAGCGCAATGCCAACGCAATGCCATAGCGATGCCAAACCATTGCCAAACCATTGCCAACGCAATGCCAACGGGGGGGTCTTTCTTTCGAAGCATCTCAATACCATGCAAGGTGTTCATTGGAATCCTTCTGTGGGGGAGCCATTCGGACTCGGCAGTGCAATGCCAACGCAATACCAAAGCAATGCCAAACCAATGCCAAAGCGATCCCAATTCAATGCCAATGCAATGCCAATGGGGAAAATCGTTTGTGGCCGGGTTCAAGAAGAATCCTTCTATAGAGGGCTTCGAATGGAATCCTTCCGTGAGGGAGTTCAATGTGAACCCTTTTTCTGGGATGCTTCAATCGGAATCCTTCTTGTGGGGGGTTCAACAGGAATCATTATGCGAAGGGAGGTGTTGGAACTCGCCAGCGCAATGCCAGCGCAATGCCAACGCAGTGCCAACGCAATGCGACACCAATGCCAAAGCGATCCCAACCCAATGCCAATGCACTGCCAATGGTGGAAATCCTTTGTGGTAGATTTCAATAGGAATCCTTATGTGGAGGGTTTCCCATGGAATCGTTCTGTGGATGGTGTCAATCGGAACCGTTTTCGTGGAGGGTGTCAATAGGAGTCCTTCTTGTAGAAGGTGTCGGTCGGAGTCCTTCTGTGGAGGTCTCCATTAGGACTTGCCAGCGCAATGTTTGCGAAATGCAAGCGCATTAGCAACGCACTGCCAAGCGCAATGCCAACGCAATGCCAATGCGATGCCAAACCATTGCCAAACCAATGCCAATGCAATGCCAACGGGGGGTTCTTTCTTTCGAAGCATCTCAATATCAACCCTTCTGCGGGTGATTTCAGTAGGAATCCATCTGTGGAGGATTTCAGAAGGAATCATTCAGTGGAAGTTTTGATAGGAGCCCTTCTGTAGAGGATTTCACCATGAATCCTTCTTGTGGGGGCTTTCAATAGGAATCCTTCTAGGGGGGAGGGCAGATGAGGCCACGTCGCATTCCGTTTTTTTCGCCGCCGACCCCCCGCCCCAAAAGAAACAAAATCTGGACCGTTTGTTGGTTGGGGGGGGGGCAGGGGGGAGAGAAAAAACAAAAAAGGAGGAGGAGGAGGGGGAGGCGGGAGGAGAGGAGGACGCCACAGAGTACGCACACCACTGACGCGCGAACTCAGTGTGAAAGCCTCGCGCGTGCGCTCTGGAACCCCGAGGGGCTCCACAATCCCGCGTTCTCGAGAAGGACGAGGAGGAGGAGAAGAAGGAGGAGAAGGAGGAGGAGGGGGGAGGAGGGAGGAGGAGGAGTAATACAGAGACCTGCTGGAACCGCTGTATGCGGTGTTCAGGCCTCTGGAGGTGCTCAAAGGAAGGCGCGCAAAGTGCTAGTAAACCCTCTGCCCGCCAGAGGTTGCGAGCTCGGGCGAGTCATCCCGCACACAGCGAGGTCACGCCTGCAGAGCAGACGAGGTCGAGGAGGAGGGGCCGTCGCACGCGGAAGCCCTCGCACGCGCACGCCACGCCTAGTGCCTGGGCCATCCTGGGCACTGGCACGGTGCACGCACCCTCTTGGCCGTACCCAGCAGGGTCCGCACTCTCCACCCTCGAGCACGAGCCCCAGCCCGAGCGCGAGCGCGAGCCCGAGCCCGAACCCGAGCCCCCGAGCCCGAGCCTGAGCCCCAGCCATAGCCAGAGACCCAGCCCGAGCCTGAGCTCGAGCCTGAGCCCCAGCCCAAGCCCTCGCCCGAGGTCAGCAAGCTGCTTCCTCCAGGCCCCCCCTGGCGCTGCGCCGGCGAAGGGCACAAGCTCCTCCTCGGGCGCAGGCGCCCGCAGGCGGTCGCGGACAATCGCCGCGGCCCGCCGCCAAAACGACCGCGCCGATGGCAACTTGGCAAGGCTGGCTGCCCTGGCCCCGCAGGGCGGCGGCGCATGACTTGAGGTGCCCGCGCGCGGACCTCATGGGCTGGGCGGAGGGTGTTCGGAAGCGTACGGTTACGGTGCCCGCCTGGCGGGCTCTGCGAGGCAAGGGGCGAGCACAGGGGGGAACTCCACACAGATGGGGCGGGAGGGGGAGGGGGGGAGCGGGAGGGCGAGGGGGAGGTGGCGGAGGAGGAGGAGGAGGAGGAGGAGGAGAGGAGGGGGAGGAGGAGGGATGCCCGAATGGCTGCGAACGGTTTGCTGTCTTCTCGGGGGGGGGCGTCTGTGGGGGTCGAGGGGGTCCTGCCGTTGGAGGCGGAGAGAGAAGGGAAGGGGAGAGGCGGAGATGAGGAGAGGAAGGCGGGAAAGCGGAGGAGCGAGAAGATCAGGTAGACGGAAGACGCCCCCCTTCACCTCTCCCCTTTCCACCCTGCTCCTCTCCTCTCCTCCTCCTCCTCCTCCTCCTCCTCCTCCTCCTCAACCTCCTCCTCATCCTCCCCCCCTCCAGATCCTCCATGAGTATGAGGGTGGGCAGGAGAGGCATGAAGGAGGACGTAAAGGGAAAGGAAGGGCAAAGAGCAGGAGGACACGGAGGAACAGAAGGAGGATGATGATTCAAGGACAACACCATAATAGACTAACCCATCTGATGCGCGATGGGACGACGAGTACTGTAGAACAATACGCTCGAGCGGCTGCGTCGCAACCATTTCGCAACCAACGCCTCCCCGACATGTGGTGCATGTATCGCCCGCGCATGTGCATGCTTACACAGACCATCCAAGTCGGCAGCAGCGAGAAAAGGACGACTGCATCGCGGCCTCGTTCTATCCAGCTCCTCCTTGCATGCGGCAAACTCCGAGACCTCAGTGCGCATCGTTCCTTTCCACTTGAAGGTCTACCCACTCCATAGCTTCCTATCCCTCCTCTGGCTCTGCTTCCTCCGCTCGTTCCCTCAGTCCCTCCCTTCCTCCACTTCTTCCCTTTCTTGCTGCGCCTCTTCGGTCCTACGGCCAATCACCACGTCCATACATCCACGCGTAGTTGCGCTGTTGCTTCATTTGCGATGTGAGTCCCTGCTGTCTGCCGCCCGTACGCTCTTGCGAGGACCGCAAAAATACTTTGCTCCAGGATCGATAGTTTTTCCTCATCCTCCTCCACCACCTTCAACTCCTCACCCACTCTCTCTCTCTCTCGAGCCTCACCTCTCCTCGAAGGGAAAACGGCACCTGCGATATCCGCCGCTAGAGTGGCCCACCCTGATAGTTCTCACCCTCCTCCCCTGCTTCGCCCTGTTCCCTCTCCTCCTCCCCCTCCTCTGCCTTCTTCTTCCCTGTCTACAACAACGCTCTGAAACGATCTCATTGACCGAACGCCTGAAAAAAAACATGGCGCAGTGCCACCGCAACGTTTGTTACTCTGGTCGACCCGTTCCAGGAGGAGAGAGGGAGGGCGAGGGAGGACTCACTCTCACACAGGATGAACATGGGGACGGCGAGGGGAGGAGGCAACAGTGCCTTTCCAAGTATCCTCCTCTGCCTCCTCCTCCTCGTCCTCCTTCCCCGCCTCCTCCTCCTCCTCCTCATCCTTCTCCTTCTCCTCCTCCTCCTCCTCCTCCTCCTCCTCCTCCTCCTCCTCCTCCTCCTCCCCCTGTCCTGCGACACCGACGACGACGACGACGACAACGACGACGACGACGCCGATGCCGACGCCGACGCCGACGCCGACGCCGCCGCCGACGACAATTGCGTCGACGATTGTACCAACAACGACGACGTCGACGGAGACGACACCGACGACGCCGCTGACGCCACCGACGATGACGGCGGCGAGGAGCGCGGCCGCTTGGGCCCCGGGCCGACTGGCGCAGCTGCGCGCACTCGTCCGCGAGGTCCACCTCCCGCTGCTTGAGCCGCACCGTCGCGGCCTCTCGGCAGGCGTGGCGCAAGGGGGGGGGGGCGGGCCCCTGCATGCGCCCTCCTCCTCCTCCTCCTCCTCCTCCTCCTCCCTTCTCCTCCCTCCTCCCTTTCTCCTCATCGTGCTCATCCTGCTCCTCCTCCTGATTATCCTCCTCCTCCTCCTCCTCTTCCCTCCTCCTCCTCCTCCTCCTCCTCCTCCTCCTCCTCCTCCTCCTGCGTGAGCGCGGGGCGGCCCTTTTGGGGGGGGCCTTGAGCAACGCACGGGGCGCGGCAATCCTTCCCGCCCGCACGCCGCCTTGCCGCGCCGCGGGTTTGTGGCGACCGCGTGAGAAATCGTCCCTGGCAAGGGCGGCGCAACAGATGGAGGGGGAGAACGACGAGAGAGGGAATCTGATGTGCACCCGCAGAGACAAAATAATTTGCCGGGCTCAAAGCTCTACGTTTGCAAACGACGCCAGTGCAGTGCGGTAAATCTACAAGTTCGAAGGTTCACCTACAGACTGCAAACTTACCTCAGGCGAAATATCGTTTCCTCTCTCCGTGGATCCTCGCTACTACTAGTTTCGAATAGGTGTGGAAGTACTTTGCATTCGTGTCCTGATACGTTCCTGGGAGCGTTGTTGAACGAGGCGTTTGCGTGCACGAGTGCCACGTCCCATAACTCTTTGGGAACGGCCGCTTGGAGGAGAAGGGCACGGACGATTCCGGATTGCTCCTGGACGCGTTTCTCGGCGATGCCGTTGGCCTGCGACCTATACCCACCCGTGGCGGTGTGAACGAGACCGCGCTCCCGAAGCCACCTGTCCACCTCCCCGTTAAACTGCCCGCCGCCGTCCGAATGCAGTCGCCACAAACGTTGTTGATCGAGCTTGCAGTCGACCATCGCTTCTCGCACTGATTGGAATTTTTTGTTTGGCAGGGGGGTTGTGAAACCGCGTCGGGCAAGCCGGATCACAGTTACAACGACGTACTTGTTACCGTTTAGGCTCACGGGCACGGTGCCAGCGAGATCGGAGGAGACCTCCCCGCCAGGAGGCTCCTGGTGCACCCGCCGGGCTGGGCGAGAACGAAGCCTCGCCTGCACACGGATGTCGCAATTCGGATCGTGCTCCGCGTGGCCTAAAATGGATAAGGAACGCAGGGTCCATCTTGCTCGGCAGGTTTTTACGCTCTGGGATGTACAACATCATTTTCGAAACAGGTCACCACGCTCAGAATACTGCTGGAGAGCCTCCGGGGAGTTCACCACCAAAGCGGGCTCTTCCCGCAAGCTGGCAGCGTACATTTCGAACGTGCTTGGTGCCCTCGACCCGCCGCGACCCTCCGATGAGGCCACGGCCAGCGACGGGCATCCAGTCGGCCGTGGCTCAACAACACGACTGTCCGCCACGCCGCTTGCGTCCTGGAATCCAGTCGGCCGTGGCGCAGCGGCGCGACTGTCATCCTCCTCCGCGGAACCTTGACTGCGAAACGCCGACCCAGCAGAACCCGCGTTGCGATCTACTCCCGTCTCGCCTCATCCTCTTCTTTTCTCCCTTCCCATGATGACGGTGACGAAAATGACAATAGCGAAGGGGTAGGTGTAGCGCTTGTACTAACGAGAATGAGCCAAGTTGCCAGACCTGTGTAGAAAGAACGGTGTCCTGGCAGGGTCCGTCAAGACAGCGCCGCCTTGAACCTGGCGGCATTGCCGTTCGTCGTCCGTCAGCAGGACGATTGCTAGAAGGGAAGATGTCGCTGCTTTGCAAATCCGGACGCCCTGAAGGAGGACGCCTCCGCACACAAAGTCGCGCTTGTGCGTTCAGTGCTTGCATCCTTCTTCTCCGCCTCCTCCTCCTCCTCTCCTGCCTCCCCCTCCTCCTCCTCCGAGGGAGGACTCACTCTCACACAGGATGAACATGGGGACGGCGAGGGGAGGAGGCAACAGTGCCTTTCCAATTATCCTCCTCCGCCTTCTCCTCCTCCTCCTTCTTCTCCTCCTCCCCCGCGACCTCCTCCTCCTCCTCCTCCTCCTCCTTCTCCTCCTCCCACTCCTCCTCCTCCTCCTCCCCCTCCTCCTCCTCCTCCTCCTCCTCCGCCTCTGCCTCCTCCTCCTCCTCCCCTTCCTTTCGCTGCTGAGGTCCAACTCCCACTGCTTGAGCCGCACCGTCGCGGCCTCTCGGCAGGCGCAGCGCAGCCCCTGCGCCATCCGGGGGCAGGCTCCCGGCGGGGCGAGGCAAGGCCCGGGATGCCTCCGCCGTTTTCGCTTGCCTTCTTGCAGCCGCTGCGCTGTGCTGCTTGTAGCTGCCGCTCTGTGGTTTCGGCTGCTCGCAGCTTGGCCATCGTGCTGTCGCGTGCTGCGTCCAGTCGTGTCTCAATGCCGGACCGCGATCCTGCTGACAGTCGGCCGTTGGCGATGGTGCGGTCGCTGGCTTGCTGTAGTTGTGCTTAGAGTTGGCTGAATGCGTGAGCGTTCTTGGCTTTCATGGTTGGAAGCTTGGGTGCTGCGTCTCTCGTTGCTGGTGATGTCTTGAGCGGGTTGAGCGGGCAAGGCATGCGCTCAGTTGTACGTCTTGCGCTCGTGAATCGGGGCTAGGCGTGTGCCTGCTCTCGTGGCCATGCTTGGCTTTCTGTAGTGTTGTTTCGGGCATTGTTGTGCAGACCGTGTAGCCACCCTTGAGTCGTCGGATGTATCATGTAGTCGCTTGGCGATTGGCTTCTGGTCCAGCAGTTGTCGCTTGATCAAGGGAGTGGCGCAAGTGAGTGTTGTCTTGCCCTGCATCTGGTATTGCTGTGACTGGTGAGGCCAAATTGCAAGTTCGCCTTGGCTGCGTTTCAGGCACCGGACTCTGTCGGCGGGGCAGCTCAGAGGCCCTCCGCCGCCTTCTGAGGAGCGCTGCGAGGCTTCGAAGAGCTGCGAAGCCCCGCCGCCTTCTGAGAAGGCCGGCTCCCTCTGCCCTCGCCCCCCCCCCCCCGGCGCGCCGCCGAAATACGCCAGCTTCGAACGCCCCGAAGACTATACACAACTATGCACAAAATCAACGCGTTTGATCATGATATCATAATTCGGCAGGGGACCCGGGCAGCAATGTCCGCCTGGAGCTTCTGAGGAACGGGGCTCAACCGACACTGCCGCCTGCGAACACACGAACCGGGGTGAGGACGACGATGACGACCACGACACCGACGACATCATCGACGACGCCGACGAAGGACACGATGACCATCGACGACGACAACGACGACAATGAAGACAACCCCGACGGCGGCGACGGCGACGACGACCACCACCATCACGACGACGACCGAAGTTCGATCAGAATCGGTCTCCAGACCCCTCGCGGGATCTGTTCAGGACAGTTTGTCATCCCGGATAACCGAGCTAGGTCTTCAGGACCCCCCCCAACCGTGGAAACTAATTATCCTTTCGACGCCCTTATTGACGGACTGGGGTCCCACCAATAATGGAGAATAGTTACTTCTCCGCGGCAACCCCCGCGCAAAAACGACGACGACGCCGACGACTACGACGACTACGAAGAGGAAGAGGAGGATTTGATTTAATATTCGCCTCTGCTGGCAACCTCTTTGGGCGAACCAGAAAAAACCTTTCTGGCGAAGGCTGACGCTGAAGCGTAGAAACAGTCAACCCAGGCAAAAGACTCGATCGGAGTTGGACGAGAACTCCGAAGGAACGTGGGCAGCTTGCACGAGCGGTCGGATGTCCTCCTCACCACGCAGACTGTCTCTGACGACTTCTCTGACGACTTGCATGGCAATGCTCTCGTTGTTCCCCTCCTCCTCGTTGTGAGGGGAGGGGGGCAGACCCAAAATACTTCATTCGGGAGCGACAACAATCGAAACCCCTGAGGATGAGCAGGAGCAGGACCAGGAGGAGGAGCAGGAGGGGCGGAGTGGACTCCCCGCCGAGAGAAATGGCGGGGTATCCCCAACACGAAAGACCTCCGTCGGTGAGAGTTTCGACGGTCCCGGGGCCTGTGATTTGCGTCTTCGGTGGCCGAGCATTGCCCGATTACCTCCACGAGCCTCGAGCCTCGATCGACCGACTGCGACTCCTCGACTCCCGACGCCATGATTCTCCCACGGAGCGGAACCCCAGAGGTCTCGGCTCCTCTCCGAGGACCGGTTCTTCATCCCGAGCTCATCTCAGACAGCCCCCCGGGGCGCGGCGAGGGCCCCCAGAGGCCGAATGTAGCAAAACGCCCTGGGTCGCGATGTTTCTCCCCACCCCAGGTGGTCCACGGGGCCTAACGGTGAAGAAGCCGACCCCCCGACCCGTGCACTCTGACCATGATTTCGTCGCAGATCCCGCCGTGGCGACGAGGATGCAAATGAAAAGCCCACGAACGGCCCTCCTCTTCCGTGTCCTCCTCCATCCTCTCCTGCTCTCCGTCACCCTCATCGCTTTCTTCTTCTCCTCCTCCTCCTCCTCCTCCTCCTCCTCCTCCTCCTCCTCCTCCTCCTCCTCCTCGTTCCCCATCCTCGCCCCTCTTCCTCGCTCGCTCTGCCCTCGTCTTCCTCCTCCTTCTCGATCCCCCTCTCAGCACCGTCGATCGCCCACGACGACGACGACGACGACGACGACGACGACGACGACGACGACGACGATCCGTTTCCCAGGACCGGTTTGCGTCCCGAGCTGATTTTGACAGTCCCGGGATCCAGCGAGGGCCCCGAGAGGCCGAAAACACTGGAAAAGCACTCCGTCGCGAGTCTCTTCACGACCTGAGGGGTTCTGCGTCGAACGATCCCCCACGACGACGACGGCGACGACGACCACCACGACGACGACACGACGACGACAACGCCGGCGGCGGCGGCGGTGACTACCGAGCGGGGGACGGGGGGATGGGGCGGGAAAGGGAAGGGGAGTAGAGTGGAGTGGAGTGGAGGATGGGGGAGGAGGGGGAGGCGCGGGAGGAGCTAAAAGGAGGGGCAGGAGGGAGAGGAGGGGAGGGGTGGGGGGAAGGAAGGGGGGAGGGGGGCTGGAGGGGAGGAGAGGAAGGAATAGGAGGAGGACGACGACAAGGGCCCTCGGCGGCGGCGGAGATGACGACCCCAGCGGCGAGAGGCGGCGGCGACGACGACCGCGGCGGCGACGCGCCTCCAGCTCGCGCAGGGAGGCGGCGTGCTCCCGGTGCTGCTCCTCGCGGGCCTGATCCCGGAGCTGGGCCTCCCGCAGCTGGCCCTCCTGGGCGAGGGTCGGGGATCGAGGGTCGGGGAGAGGAGGACCAAGGATCGAGGAGGACGCATCGAGGTGGAGACGTCCTCCTCCTCCTCCTCCTCCTCCTCCTCCTCCTCCTCCTCCTCCTCCTCCTCGCGGATTCAGCATCGATGAGGATGATCGAGCATCGAGTACCTCCTCCTCCTCCTCCTCCTCCTCCTCCTCGCGGATTCAGCATCGATGAGGATGATCGAGCATCGAGTATGATCGAGGCCTCATTCTCCACCTCCTCCTCCTCCTCCTCCTCCTCCTCCTCCTCCTCCTCCTCCTCTTTCTCCTCCTCCTCCTCCTCCTGCTGCTCCTCTTCCTCCTCGGGCCCCACAACGTCCTGGATCGAGAATGGATGCCCGAGCGTCGAGGATGGAGGATGGAGGATCACGGAGGAGGAGGAGAAAGATCGAGAATCGAGGATCGAGGAGGATCGAGGCCCCCTCCTCATCCGTCTCCTCCTACTCTTCCTGCTCCTCCTGCTCCTGCTCCTGCTCCTGCTCCTCCTCCTCCTCCTCCTCCTCCTCCTCCTCCTCCTCCTCCTCCTCCTCCGTCTGTCTTCTCGGGAGGCCAGGGAGGCGTCGAGCACCCAGGGCGCCGCGGGAGCAGGGGAGGGCTGTGCATGCCCATCAGCGCAACAGGATTGGGGGGGGCGAGCCCTTGGAAGGCTCACCCAAAAGCCTTACCAGACAACCCTGCGGCCCATGCCGACCAGCCACAACTGGGGGAGCTGTGGTCCTTACCCCCCTGGGGGAACCAATCGCATCGACGATCTCTCGAGAGGAGTGTCGAAATCGATGGGTCCCCCAGGGGGGTAAGGACCACAGCTCCCCCAATTGTGGCTGGCCTGCCATGGGTGACCTGGCCGGGGCGCGCGCGTCCGCGGGTCCACTGGCGCGGTCTCGAGGAGTGCCCCCATGCCAGACCGGGCCTGGTCGTCGGGCCGGCCCTTGGCATGCTGCCACGCCTCGGCGTGCAAGGGGGGATCGGGACAGATTTGAGGGCACGGCTCGGACGGGCTCGTGGAGATCGCCGCGTCTGTCTCCTCCTCCTCCTGCCCCCTCCTCCTCCTCCTCCTCCTCCTCCTCCTCCTCCTTCTGCTCCTCCTCCTCCTCCTCCTCATCCTTGTCCTCCCCCTTCGACTCCCGCAGCTGCTCCTCCTGGTGAGGCGGTGGCAGGAGTCGCACGATGTACCAGATCTTTCTTCGAAGATTTGCTTCTCTTCAAATCCAGGCATCTTTTCTTTGATTTCGGCCTCCAAGTGCAGTTTTCGGTCCCTGGGGCAATTCAAAAGATCCGGGGCTAAGAACTTGTCCCAGTAAAAGGGTCCGAAACTTTGGAGACGCGGGTTGAACAAAAACCGCATCGTTGGATGTCTGTGCATGGTGACCCCAGTCTCCGACTCAGCGGGACTTCGATCTGGCCAAATAATTCAGGAGTGCCTCGGGGATAGCCGATCGGAGAGGGCGTCCATCTTCCATGGTGGGCTCCCGAAGAGCCCGCTGGAAGTGTCCCCCCGAATTTCCCGCACTGTGAAAACTCTGAACGGCCGGTTGTTTGGGGGGGAGCTGGGGGCGTGAAGTCGCTTGCGAAGGAAGATCATCGCCTACCATAGCTCCAACAATTGCGGATGAGACAGAGGGCGCGCCGTGTCGTCGGCAGCCTGCGAGGCCAGAGAGCCCGCCGCAGGCACCCAGTCGTGAACACGACATAACGGTCCCGCCGCAGACGCCGATTCGTTGCCAAAGACTGTGGGCGGGTAGCCATGGATCTTTGCCGGGTCGGCGGGTAAATCGCGCGGCGGGTCGCGGGTAGGCTGCGAGTGGGTCGCGGGGGTGGTCGCGGGTGGGTCACGGGGCGGGGCCGACAAGGCCAGGGACCCTGTCAAACCGCCCCAGGACTCCTCCAGGAAGGCCTCCTTCTGACGAGTCCCTCAGGTGTCGTCGCGAATTCCGTGAGGTTCACGAATCCCTTCTGAGGAATTCCTCACGTCGGGAATTCCCTGAGGAACTCGCGAATCCTGACGGATCTCTGAAGGATCCTCAAGGATGCCTGTGGAGTGCTCTTGAACTTCGCCGCGATTCTTACGGCTTCCTCACGAACCCCATAGGACATCTCGCAAATCATGTCTAGGAGTCCTCACAAATCCCTCGGGGAATCCTCACGACCCCCTGAACCCCTCCCCAACGAACCGTCCCGAGCCCCCCCAACGAACCGTCCCCTTTCCCCCCCAGGGGCGTAACCCATGGCCAGGCTGGCGTATTCTCGGGCGTCATCTCGAAAAACAAGAAGCAACATCCTGAATCCGAGCCGACGACGCCCCCTCCGGCCACGCAGCCAAGCACAACATCAGAACGCTCGGCCCCCCTCCGTCGCTCCGACGACTGCCCCCAGCAAGTTGCGGAGAAGCGTGCGGAGGTGGGGGAATCGTCAGCACCCTCGAGTCAATGACGAAAAAGTGCATCATGTCACCGAATTTCCCTGAAATCCGCGCGGGCTTCTTGGATCGGCGCTGGACCCCCCCCTCCCTGGCGGCGCCGGAGCGGCGGGCGCCACAGGCGCCGGCTGGAGGGCCCAGCGCCGATCCAAGAAACCCGCGCGGACCTCCGAGATGCAATGCGTATGCCGCTTGTGTCTCCCACAACAGCAACTGTGGTGAAATACTGCTGTGCTCCGACAGGCCTCGCTGCGCGCACGCGCGCGGCGGCCGCTCGTCTCCGAGGGCTTCCATGAAGGGCCCCGGAGGGCCCCAAAGGCCCCCCGGGCGGCCCTCCGACGGCCCCGACGGCGGCGACGACGAGCCCGAGCATGGGGCAACCGACGGCTCCGAAGGGCCTCCGCGGCACCTGGACGGCCTTCGAAGGGCCCCGAGGGCCCCCAGACGGGCCCCGACGGCGGCGACGACAAGCCATGGGATGGGGCAGCGCTGGCGGCGGGGGGCTCCAGCTGCGAGCTGCGCGCGGCGGCGTCGCGGGCCGCGATGTGGTGGCCGTTCGTCATGTCCTGCAGCTTGTTGCACTGCGCCTCTGCAGGGGAAGTGCCAGGAGACGGAGGGAGAGAGGAAAGGGGGAGAGGGAGGGGAGTAGGGGGAGATGAGGAGGCTTAGGAGCAGGAGGTTCAGGAGGAGGAGGATCAGGAGGAGGAGAAGGAGAAGGAGGAGAAGGAGAAGGCAGAGAATGAGGAGAAGAAGAAGAAGGAGAAGGAGGAGGAGGAGGAGGTGGAGGAGGAGGCAAGGAGGGGTGAGGCGGGGGGAGGAGGATGCAGAAGAGGCGGAGGAGGAAAGAGGAGATGGATAACGACAGAAATCGGGGGAGAAACGAGGAGGCGGAAGGGGAGGGGGAGTCGAGGAAGGAAACTCGGTGCGCTCGCGCCATATCTGGCATCCTATATCCGTCCCGCCCAGCCCAGGCCACGGCGCCGAGTATATTGTTGTATCCGTCGGGTGTCCAATAGAAGACATTGATTCCCGAAGTTGCCCTTTCGTGTGATGCGCACTCAGAAGGGATCTGCTTCTACACTGGAGGAGGAGCAGGAGGGGGAGTAGGAAGAGGAGCAGGAGGAGGAGGAGGAGGAGGAGGAGGAGGAGGAGAAGGAGGAGGAGGAGGTGGACGAGGAGGAGAGGAGGAGGGGAGGGGAGAGCGAGGGAGAGGAGAGGAGAGGAGGAGGGAGAGGAGGGAGGAGGGAGGAGGAGGAGGAGGAGGAGGGGGAGCAGGAGGAGGGGGAAAAGGACGTGGAGGAGGTGGAGGAGGAGGAGGAGGAGGAGGAGGAGGGGGCGGGGTCGGCCCACACCCGGGTCAGCCAGGGGGGGGGGCTGCCTGACCCTCGCCAACGCGGACCTGTGTGAGACCGTTCTTTTGTCTTTCCCGTGAACGGCCGTTACCCGGAGAGGGAGGGGGAGGGGGGCCGGGCGGGAGGGTAACGGTAACGGCGGCCGGGGCGTGCGCCCGCCAGGGTGCGTCCGCGCCACAGGCGCATCAATCGCCTGTGTACACGACAATACCCAATGCCTGCGTGCAAGACAGCGCCACCTGTGTACACACCACAATGCTTCCGTACACCACAACATCCGCGTGAACTGCAGCACCACGTCGCTCATGCACATCGCAGTGCCTGTGAATAGCGCAGCAACCGTAGTTTATCATCAAATTCAACAGACAAGATATGTGTATAATGGGACCAGTATTGATTTTTTTTGGCACAAACAACCATGGAACATGGAACGCCTCTGGATCCCGCTCAACTCTTATGGAAGGCGGGGCGCCTCTGAATTCCCGTTTTTACCTAACAGCTTGTTCTGATAGGTTTCTAGTGGGGTCAAAAGAGAGCAGCAGATGACTCCACAAGGGGGTCTGGGCGGGTGCCGGACAGGGTGCCGCAGAAGTCGTTTTAAGCCAACAGTCACACACTTCGTGCTCTTCGACCTCCCAGAACTCCATTCCCGGGCCACATTCTGAATGCCCGGAGCCAACTGTAGGCCACTTCGTGCTCTTCGACTTCCCAGAACTCCATTCCCGGGCCACATTTTGAATGCCCGGAGCCAACTGTAGGCCACTTCGTGGTCTTCGATTCCCCAGAACTCCATTCCCGGGCCACATTTTGGATGCCGGAGCCAACTGTAGGCCATTCGTGCTCTTCGAGTTCCCAGAACTCCATTCCTGGGCATGATTTTGAATGCCCGGAGCCAACTGTAGGCCACTTCGTGTTCTTCGAGTTTCCAGAACTCCATTCCCGGGCCACATTTTGAATGCCCGTAGCCAACTGTAGGCAACTTCGTGCTCTTCGACTTCCCAGAACTCCCTTTCCTGGGCCACATGTTGAATGCTGAGGCAGGCTGATGCTGCGGTCGAGGCAGGCTGGGGCTGAGGCAGGCTGAGGCTGAGGCCGAGGCTGAAGGCAGACTGAAGCTAAGGCTGAAGCAGACTGAGGCCGAGGCTGAGGCAGGCTGAGGCTGAGGCTGAGGCAGGCTGATGCTGAGGCCGAGGCTGAGGCTGAGGCTGAGGCAGGCTGAGGCTGAGGCAGGCTGAGGCTGAGGCCGAGGCTGAAGGCAGACTGAGGCTGAGGCTGAAGCAGGCTGAGGCTGAGGCTGAGGCAGGCTGAGGCTGAGGCTGAGGCTGAGGCAGCTGATGCTGAGGCAGGCTGAGGCTGAGGCTGAGGCTGATGCAGGCTGAGGCTGAGGCAGGCTGAGGCTGAGGCCGAGGCCGACGGCAGACTGAGGCTGAGGCTGAAGCAGGCTGAGGCTGAGGCAGAGGCAGGCTGAGGCTGAGGCTGAGGCAGGCTGATGCTGAGGCAGTCTGAGGCTGAGGCTGAGGCTGATGCAGGCTGAGGCTGAGGCAGGCTGAGGCTGAGGCCGAGGCTGAAGGCAGACTGAGGCTGAGGCTGAAGCAGGCTGAGGCTGAGGCTGAGGCAGGCTGAGGCTGAGGCTGAAGGCAGGCTGAGGCTGAG